CCAGATAGTTCACTCTCCCTGTCGGAGGTCACTGCTATTTCTCAAATCTCTGTCAGAAGGTGAAGTTATTTTTCACAGGTTTGTAAGGGACCACGGCCTCTGCAGGTCCTCTTCTGAAACATTGCAATGTGCTCCAGAAAGCAGTTAGACTTTTAGGAGTAAGGTCCAGCACAGACTCGTGGTACATAAGGCTTGTTTCATGGAGTGTTATGGTGAGTGTCTGCTGACTGTTCCGCCATGCCACTGTTCCCATAGTTCATAAAGCCATCTTTGTAAGCTTGCAGTGCCATCTCAGGGCTGCCCTCTGTCAACAAATAAGAGGCATAAACTGCAAGAGAAGCAAAAAGTTTATTTGGGGGGTCTCGAGAATTGCAATTCAGGAGAACAGATTCAAGTAGAAACTCGAATGTGCTCCGATTACAGGAGAGGGGCTCACGGTTTTCATGGGAAAAAGGGAGGAAGATGAGGTAAGTTGTATTAAGGAAGAGTTCCTTGGTGCTAGATGAGGTAAGGCCAGGTTTGTACTTCATAGTTTGGCTTGAGCTTCGGTCATCAGGCAAAGGCTAGACTTGAACTTCATTCATTGGTTAGCGATTCGGTCGTCAGGCAAGTCCAGTTTCTTCAGTCCTTACAAACAGGATATGCTTGTCCTTACTAACTCCTTGGAGTGCTGGTGGTTTGCTCTAGTTTGAAAGATGAAGAAAACAAGACGTGCAAGGCAATTCTTCTGAAATGGCTGCTTCAGCTCTATTTTAGTGTGGCTCCACTCATGTCATCTTTCTTCCCTCTCACCAGCTCTCTCCTTTCCTCGCTGCTCACACGCACTTCCCTTGCTTTATGCTCTGCACTCTACCACTCAGAGCCAGCAGGCTACTTTCTAGAATGCTTTCCTTGCTCAGAAAGTGTTCTCCAGGTGTGGCCTGTGCTTTCTTAAGCCTTTGCATCTTTCCTCATGCTGTTAGCATTGCTGAAGGTGGCCTCCATTGGTAGATTCTGTTTGTGGTAGCTGTTTGTTGAGGTCCATCCCTCCACCCACCCTTTGCAGCCTTTCCTGACTTTTTTGGGTAGGTTTCTCCTCTTCTCTCTGAACTCTCTTGATCTTTGAGTTTTGCTTGTTGTCATATGAGCCTTATCCAGCTTCCTGGAGTATAACCTTGAGAGGAGAATCTTCCTGGAGCTGGCCACCTGCCCCAGTGCAGCCAGGGCTTACTAAATGGCTGAGAGCTGTGAGGCTGGGTCCGGAGTTGTTGGGCCCTGTTGCTCATTCCAGAGAGGTGGAGTGCTGCATTTGAAATGAGGTGTTTTGGTCACATAACATTTGTGAATGGCCAGAACAGTTGGTTATAGTTAATTCATTTTCAGATCTAAGTTACGGACTGAATTTTCTACAAGGGTGTGTCTGATATCAGCAGAATGATTTAATTTTCCTAGGAATAAGGAGCCTGGGCATTCGAATGCTTTTCTAAGGATCTCAGAGTCATCTCCATTTGCTGAAGAGGAAACTGAAGCCTTAGGTTACATGGGAGCTCATATCATAGCTGGGACCTGAACCAAGGTCTTCTCATTTCCAGTGAAATTTCTTTTTTCTTGTATTAGCCACTTTTTCGAACTGTGTTTCTTTGTTTTATACATAGAGAAAAAAAGATGGCCAAAGCTTAAACAAAAAAAAGAGAAGAAGATAAAAGAAAAAAAGTCAGGTAATCTTAGGCAAAGGTATTCTTTCAGAGTACGTAACACACATGGAATTCCTTGTTCACGTGTCCTGCTGCTCAGGGAAGGTTCAGGTCTTTGCAGAAGGTGGGTGTCTTTAGAATAAGGCTGAGAGAGTGTGTGGGACAGAGTCCTTATAGACAAGAGCCCACTCACCTCCGATGACTATCGCTTTTCTTATCTTTATGCCAGCTCCTGATATAGAAGCAAAATGCCCCCTCTTTTATTTTTCTCTTTTAGTAAAGGACTTTTCCTTATAATTATCTTGCAGATGGGGAAAGGGTGAACATTAGAAATATGTGGCATAAATTTATAATTTATTTTCACAAGATGCTTGTGTTTATCCTATGCGAGATGTGGGGACTCTTAAGAGTGAAAGAGGCCAGGAGGACTTGGACATAAAAGAATCATCTTTATTATTATGGATACAAATGTGAAAAGATTCATGCTGACTTTTGAGAGAAGGGGGAAAAGGGAGGAAAATTTCTTTTATTGCTGGAGATCTTAAGGCTTAAGTTATTTCTTTGAAGTTGTCGATTTAGAAATGACAACTTTGGCATCTTCAAACCGTATAATTTCTTAGCTAGCACTGATATTTGAGGATAATTATTGATGTCTGCAGTTGACTAAATTTTGGTGTGGTTTGCTCCCCCACCCAAGTCTTTAACAAATCCTTGAGGACGGGTGTGCACATGTGCATGTGTATGCTAGGTCAATACCTATGTCTAAAATGATTTTATCTATGAGAACTAACTTGTAAATTTATATAATGATGTTAAACCTCCTTGTAATTTGATCTGGTTTCCAAATTGTAAAGTCAAGTGAGCTGAAATTGAGCAATGAGAAAGATGAATCTGTTCTATAACTTTTAGGAAAAAATACTGACGTAGTTTTATTTCTCCATTATGAGGTCAAAATAAGAGTTTTCTTTGAAGTTGGAGAAATTCTGGCTATTTCTACCTTATTGCTTTAGGTTGGACCTTAAATGTCTGATTGTCATTGGGTATGTAAAACTTCCTGATTGGATGATTTCAAAATCTCTGCTGTGATACGAGACGGCCCAGGTTTATATTTCATTTGTTCTATTCAGAGGTAATTACAGCTACCCAATTTGGGACTTTTAAATCCAGGGGTCAACTCTGACTCTAAGCTCAATTGGCTTCTCCATCTGTTCTCATTTCTTTTCTTGTTAGATGAGAGTCATCCTCTTAGTAACACGATCCAATATTTATTGCACTTAACTATGTCCCAGGCATGAAACAAAGGCTTTATCATCTCATTTTAACCTCACGATAACTCTAAGATAGATACTGTTGTCACCTTCATTTTACACATAATAAGGCTAGGACTTTTGAGAAGTTAAGTGACTGACCCACTTAGGACTAGAAAGTGGGGGCCTTGGGCCTGGCCTCCAAGTCTGTCTGGACTCTGAAGCCCAAGACCTCACGCAGTAGGCTACACTGCCTTGGTTCCTTAGGTAGGTCATGAGGACTTGGATAGGCCTGAACTCCATACTGGCTTCATGTTTCTGACCTGGACAGATCTGCACTGGAATTTTGGCTCTGCCTCTTAGTAGCTATGTGATCTTGGGTGAATTACTCAGATCCTCCAACCCTCCTCTTCATTCAGAAGTTGTGTGTGAAATCTGATGATAAATCTACTTTCGGTACACAAGACAGGAAGAAGAGTGTCATTTATTATTTTACTTACTACTTACACTGTAGCCTGCCTTTTCAAAGATAATTGGCATGTGAAGTTGCCTGTTTTCTTTTTCTTGGGGAGTGCTGAGCCCTGGCCAGCTTGGTCTGGAGTGGGGCGGTGTGGTGCATCTGATGTTGGCGTCTCTTTACACCCGTTGCCTTCTGTGTCTCTTCAAAATATTTCTGGAGGCAACTGAGTGTGTTAGTGGCCTTCTTTGCAAGCAAGTCATGGAGTTAGTTCTGGCCTTTTGGGGTTTGAGGGGGCCAGTAAATAGCACACCTCTTCTCTGCCCAAGCTCAACGCAAGTGGAGAGGTTGGCAGGAGTTAGGCAAATGGAGACTTGAGTTGTCACTTTTATTATTAATACAGCTGATGTTGGCGATGGAGGAAAGGAGATACACATAGAAGATAATGGAGAAAGGATTCTTATGAGAGAGGATGGAGGAAGGAAAGCTTAGGTAAAGGCAGTAAAGTGGAGGGAGGCAAAAAAAATGGTAGCCAGGATTCTTCCTACGAGATGAGGATTTTGAAAGGGGTTCTCTGGTCTCTGTATTGTTTGTACCTTCAAGAAAAATGGGAGAGGGACTTGGTGAAGGTCACAAAGCTTCTATTGGCTAGCAGGTTTGAAACTCAAATGTCCACTCCTGGACCAGCCTCTGAGTCATGCTTGGTGGAGAGCTACTTGGTGGGAGGAGAAAATGGAAAGATTGTATTTTGGAAAGCTTGCTTGAGTCTTTGAAAACAGTTATACATGTTACAATCAGAAGCTCTAGTTAAATATTTTTGGATTACGTGGCTTTTAAAATGTTGTATGACAGTTGATAGTTTCTTGATATATATATACACACATACATATATATTTTGTATTTTATATATATTATATTTATATATATATATTTTGTATTTTATGTCTTTAAGTATGCTTATATATTGTTATAGCATATGTTTTTTCTCTTGTGTGTTTTCTTTATATGTTTTTTGGTATGTTAATTTGTGACATTTGATGCTGAGGGAAAATGAAATCATAATAATGATTAACAACTGCTGAAAATGTGACCAGCCATGTGAGATTTTATGTGATTGTTATTCCTAAAAATACAGAGCCGGTAATTTTTTCAGCCATCGGGAGCAGCCCTGGCTTTGCTCCCCATCCTTTCCCTGTTATAAGTAGTCTAACAAATTTGGAGGCCTAAGCTCCCTCCTTCTCCAGCCCCCCACACCCACCCACCTTGTATGTCTTTTCTTGTTTGAGATTTATGAAAATAGTCATGTTTTCTGAATTCATCCAGAAATGAACCCTATTAAAAATTAAATCCATCTCCATTTTTGTCTGAATGCTTATGGAATCTATACACTTGATATGAAGTTATACTAACCATAATCTGAGTATCTTAAATTTTTTGCAGCTGTAGAATTATATTAGACTTCTAATAATTTGATTTTAACATTTAAAATCTGGTTCAGACTTATCTATAAGGGAATAAAATTATATCTCATGAGAGCCATTGGCCTAAGTATGTCCTCTTAAGTCAGCATTCCAATTTTAAAACTACAACAAAAACTAATCTCTCTTTTCTTTTCTTTTTTAGCTTCTCAGACAAACTATTCAGTGGAAAGGGCTTACGTTTTCAGCCATCAGTTCTAGATTTTGGAATTCAGTAAGTATCTTTTCTTTATAATTTTTAATAACTTATTTTATTTGCATTATTTTGCTTTTAAGATATCTTATATATGTATGATGTTAAATACATTTTAAACAGATTAATAATATCAAGGGATATTGATCATGTGGCTTGTTAAAAGGAATATTTTTGTGAAAAGGAGAGCGTAAGAATTGTTTCAGCCCTTTCTTTAGTTTTTAATAAATATACCTTATAATACTTTGTAGTGATTGGAATTTAATAAGGCAATATTAAGTCCTTGTTTTTCTGAAACAAATTATTTTATAATTAAAAAACTCTAATATTGATAGTTTCTGAATTCTTTTAATTACATTCATTTACTCATTTTTACTGGTCGTTAGGCTTCAAGGTTCAAAATTGCACTGCACAAACATTAGTTATTGTGATTAAGACTTTAGAAACACGTTAAGTGGATAAGACAGTGTATAAGCTGTAATTACTTACAGTACATCGTGTTAAGAACCTGAGATGAAGGAAATGTGATCTGAGTGTAGGTAGAGGGACTAATCTGGGAACTCAGAGAAATTAAGGAAGAGAAGGGTGAAGCTGTGCAGAGGAGGGAATTTAAGGACTCTTGTTGGCTGTGATCAAGTTTGAAACTGGAAGTGTTAAATTCCCTAGATGCAGGATATTGCAGCACTGAATAGATATAATTTCAAATGAGTAGAGTTTCGAGGGTGAAAGTAGAGCGAGTGTTCCAGGTGTACAAGCTCTGCTTGTATCAGCAGCCCGGAACATCACTTCAGCTTTATGAAGAACTTTCTTGAGTTACAAGAAAAGTTATGTGAATGAAATAACCATGGTGATAGGAGAGCATCTGGGGTGAGTTAGTGGTGGTCTCCTGGGGTGCCCTCCTTTGTTCATCTGGATTTCCTTCTTTCCATTTCTTTCTGATCATCAAAAGATTGGAGCTGCAGTGAAGGAGAATGAATTTTAAATTCGAAAGTACCTGTTGAGCTTTTTAAGGAGATTCTGTAAAAGGAAGAAGAGATAAAAGTGGGAAGGGAGATTGCTGACTTGACAAGATTCTAGGTGTCGGCTTTTTTGTTTCTGAATTTCTATATTTTTACTCTTAGGTAAAGAAACTTTATTAGAAGCTCAATTTATAATAAAACATCACTGATTTCAAATTCTGAGAGAGCACTGCGTTTGTGAAAAGTCTTTCTAGTAAAAAATTTTAATGCACAACCTACTTTAAAGAATGTATAGTACAGATTGGTAGATATAATAAGGTGGATAGTAGTAAGTACAGTTAGACTAGCATAACAATTCCAATTCATAGGACACTGGCTGTCTATGATATATTTAATCTTCAGTAACATAAAAGTCCTGTAATCTATAATCAATGCCCATGGATTTATGTATATATTAGCTACATATGTTAATTACCTATATACATCCATTGCTGGTCCTGATAGCTGAAAATATGTTGAAAAAAAATGAGTAATGTCTTTGATTTGAAAAGGTTACTAATTTTTAGACTTGAAACACTTTTGGATGATTCAGTTACATTTATGTAGTATTTTTTTAGTTTTCAAAGTACGGTCATGTCTCTTGTCATTGGAGTCTTCAATCAATCAGGGAAGGATAGGTATTATCTGAGTGTGTGTGTATCATTTTCCAATATCTCTGTATTTGAGCATGTGCTAAAATGTGTTCATACATTTTTTGCTGAGGAGTAATGCAGTTTGCCCAAGGTCGTTTCACTAGAAGTGACAGAATAAATCTTCTGATTTCTAAGCCAGCATACACAAGGCTGTTTTTCTTATAAGTGAAATCCAGGATCTGATTATGGGAATAAATTGTTTTTGCTGAAGTTTTACAAATCTCAATAAGAACAAACTATAGTTTAAATGAGAACACTTTTAAAATTAGTCAAGTTTTACCTGACTTCTGACAAATGTTATACTTTATAGGCATTAGATTAAAGCTTGAGCCAGAGAGTTCTCGATTTTGTCATTGCCCTAGTTCAGCTTTTGCTATTGTTTATTTTGACATCCACCTTGGGCAAACCCCATCCCTTTCATAGCTTTGATTTCCGTCTAGAATGCAGAATCAGGGTCATGCTGTTCAGTTGCTCTCTGCCTACTTCTTAGGGTTTATTTTAAGGGTTAATGTTCTGCTGGTTGGGAGATTAAAAGTGCTAATCATTCATAAGAGATTCTAATCATTCTTTTGTAGTATTAAATTAATAGAGTATCTTCCAGTTGTCACTGGTGAAGGAAATTCTTATCCTCATAACACTTTTAAAAATAGAATTAAAAAAATAGAATAAAAATAGACAGGGGTCACTAGGTTTCAGCCAGCGTTCTCTGTTGGGTCTGGTGAGGATGCAGTTGCTGGGCTTGGTAGCATTGCTGTTTTGCAATCTTATTTTCTAATGTGTTTCTCTGGGAGACATTTGTATCCTTTGAAACCAAAAATCTTGTATTCTAATTGTGTGAATGGGATATAAAGCTTTGAGGATAAGTATTTATAACTTTGCTGATTGATTCATATTGTTTACCTAAAACCACAGAAGCCCTTATTTATTTAATTGAGAGAAAAATCAAATGTGAAACTGGTACTCTTGAGGTAGGGCTTTCTGAGGTGACCTTTTATACTTATGGTAGTATAAAAAAATTTCGGTTGTGTTATTTTTTTTTTTTTTAAGATTTTATTTTATTTATGTATTTTCCCCCCAAAGCCCCAGCAGATAGTTGTATGTCATAGCTGCACATCCTTCTAGTTGCTGTATGTGGGACAAGGCCTCACCATGGCCGGAGAAGCGGTGCGTCAGTGCACGCCTGGGATCTGAACCCCGGGCCGCCAGCAGCGGAGGGCGCGCACTTAACCACTAAGCCACGGGGCCGGCCCTCGGTTGTGTTATTTAAGAATACTCTAAAAAATCAAGATTTTAATTACACTAATATGCATTTTATTTGTAACTGGCTGTAAAGGACTTATTTTTTAAAATACACATTGGACATATTAAACCTTCAATTAAGACCTGCGATTAAAAGTAGGAGGAAAAGTTGGCAGAAGAATTCCAAGGATTTGATGGTGATAATACAGTATTTTGGAAATCCCATTGTGTATAAGAGAACAACTTACATTTCATTTTTCCAAAATTCTAATTCAGAGAAACTAGAATAAAATCACAGAAATACAAGCATAAGGTGGAGGAGTTTTTTTGCTGGATTTAGAATATAGTTTTATTTCTGGGCCATACTAATGAGAATTGTATATTTGGGTCTCTGCCACTGAGGGTATTAAAACTGGAGAAATGACTTCAGTGAAATTTCTGCTGGCCCTCTATTTATTACAACATAATTTAACTAGAGTGGATTTGCGGTTGGCAGTGGGAATCAGAGTTAAATGATTAGAGGGGATATTGCAGGTATTTCCGGGTAGGTGGGCCAGAGACCAGCTCCCTTCCTCTTGCAAATCCTTTGTCAGAGGCAACCCTTGTAGATGGAGAACGCTGCCATAAAGAATCAGCATTAAGGTCGTCATCGGTTAGGCTGTTTGCTGTAGAGCAGAGATTTTTACTCTGAGGTTCATGGAAAGTTTTGAAATTATGTATAAAACTTTCTCTGTGTGTGGATGTTTGTGGAGGGAGGAGCCAGAGCTCTCAGCAGAGTTTTCTGCAAGACTCGTGACTTGGTTGGATGAGAGAACCACTGCTAGAAAGTGCTGCAGACCCTTTTCTTGGGAGTAGGGTCTTGAGCAACAATTAAGTTTTCCTTGTGTAAGACTTAATAAAGTGTCTTTGTGAACTGAAATCTCTTCCCCACCAAAAGCCTCTTTTAAGTTTATTACTCAGAAAACAAACCCTAAGAAAATTGAGTTGTTCTATGAGTACAGTTTCTTATCCAAACATATTTTCCTTTGAATTAGAGACCCAAGTCACACAAGTGCCTCGTTCCCACTGTTTTTTGCAAACATGTAGTGGCCTAGATGGGTTGAATTCTTCTAACACAGAAACCAGTGGGGTGCTGCTGTGGGTTGGTATAAATTTTTTAAAATAAAGGATATTTTTTTCCAATTTTTGACTGTTGTGGATTAAATATTTTATTAATAACAGGATTTGATAATTGTTGCTTTTAACTTTATAGTGTATATATTACATTTAAAGTATATATATGGTTTAAACTGTATATATGTGTGTATGTATGTATGGATGGATGGATAGTTACATTATAACCACACCTTACATTGCTTTTTCTCCTTGTTCCGCTCCTAGGTTCCTGGGACACCCTGCAGCAAAGATTCTCTATGCTTATAACCCTAGTAGGGATAGCGAGGTCGTGGTGAATTCAGTGTTTACAGCTGCTAGACATTTTCATGTGCCTCCTGTTCATTGCAGGGTAAGTGTTGATGTACTCTTGGAAACTATGCTGTGGCAGGCTGCCAGGTTTTCTTGCTTTCTTTGGCCTGAAACTTTTACTTTCTGCTCCCTGTCTCCCCTTTTTCTGCTACCCAGACTCTTTCCTTCTGCTTTAGCATTTATTTTTTCAGTTGTTCGTATTCATAATTTTGGTGGCTCTTGATATCTACATGGAAAAAAAAAGTTTAAAGAGTCTAAGTGAGGTTGTAATATATGTATATTTAATATGACTTTTTCATGGTCAATGAAACTTAATATTATTAGTCTTGAAATGAATACAAATGCTGAAGCATTTAGTAACTAGTACAGGTTTATAGTCGTGATCTGTTCACTTGGCAAACATACTAAGATAGTTCGGACTCCTTTCTAAGTCTAAGAGGTAGCAAAAGGCTTCTTATAAAGCTAATTGTATCATAACACAGAGCTCAAAACCCTGGTCTTCTAATAGTTTTAATTTCAGTGGTGGTTAACTTTTAATGAAGATCCTATTTACTAGTAAGGTTTATTTATTTTGCTATGTCTACCTGATATATATATATATTTTGAAATAAATACTAGAACTAAGGAAATGATGTAAGGGAGAGCCCAGTATTTTGTTTATGACCGTCTGTCCAGGTAAATGCTGTCCCTGACTTTTATTAAGTATGTATCAACATGTTTGTACAGTGGTGGTTCTCTTTATTTAAGTGGACTAGAACTGTGTTAAAGGCCATTGAAGACATAGTGTGGAGGAGGAGGGAAAAGGAAAGATGTGAGACGGGTGACCCCAATCCGAAGTGAAAGGACTTGGCAACTATCTTGCTATAAGTCTGTGGTATGTTCTTGGATAGATTCTCTTAGATGGTTGGATGTTGTTCCACTTGAGGATTCTCAGAGATTCATGATATTTACAAATCAAAGGTACAGAATATGCAAACATCTGTTAACAGAAATTGTCAACAAGAAAATCTGTGAAAGAGAACTTATCAAAGAGGAGCCATTCCAGATGGCTAATTAGGTACCTTTCTTTCAGGTAATTCCAGCAATGGGGAAAACTTCCTTCAGAATTATTTTCTTACCTACTGAAGAAGGAAGCATTGAAAGTTCTTTATTTATTAATACCTCCTCATATGGAGTCCTTTCCTATCATGTGAGTAACTTTTTCCTTTTGTCACATAAGTTGGTTGTTGACTTAAAGGGGTTTGGATGGTTTAAAAAAGATTTTGGGAGGGCTAGCCTGGTGGCGTAGCAGTTAAGCTTATGTGCTCTGCTTCGGTGGCCTGGGATTCGCAGGTTCGAATCCCGGGCGTGGACCAACACACTGCTTGTCAAGCCATGCTGTGGCAGCATCCCATATAAAGTAGAGGAAGATGGGCACGGATGTTGGCCCAGGGCCAATCTTCCTCAGCAAAAAGAGGAGGGTAGGCCACAGATGTTAGCTCAGGGCTAATCTTCCTCACACACACACACAAAAAGACTTTGGGAAATGTTACCACCTGGTTTATGTTGTTAAAATATGAAATTGTTAGTCACCAGCTTTCCCCCTTCTTCGGCCTCATGTGCCACACACAGTTGGCCGTCTTCAGTACAGAGTACAGACCTATAACTCTCACTATGGGTCTTTGAAGGGTGTTGGAACAAAACAAGGGAATCTACCATATACAGTTTTCTAGTATAAAATATAGCAGGCATTTAAAACTCACGACCCTCATCTCATAATCCAGAGGGAGGGAGCTGTAAGGGCTACCTCTAGTGATTTTGCCTCCTCTCCTCCTGGGCTCAGGTATATTTTGATTGGGGGACACAAATTGCGTGGTTGGGTGCCAGTTCTCAGCTCACTGTTCATATCAAGGCACTAGGGAGGGAGTGTGAACAATCTTTTTGTTGTTCACAAAAATAGTTAGAAATCTTTATCTTAAGTGGTATCTGTAACATCTTTAATAGGACATGGCATCAAGTAATTTAAGTGCCAAGATCTATCAATTTTGAGGTTAATTCTTATTGGGTTCCATTAAATACATGATCCCATATCAGAAAGGTTGTTTATTTGTGAAAAAATTTGCTACAATGAAGAACATTCAGCTTAACTACAGCAACTTTTGTTGCATTTTTTTGTAGACGAAGATAAATGTAATAGTTGGATTGTGATAAAGTCTTGAAGGCCAAGGTGATGAATATCGATTTCCTTTGGAAAGGTATTTTAGCAGTATGGCAAATGTGTTTCAAAGCTAACAGAGGAGTAATTCTCTCTTTTTCCTGCAGGTATCTGGAATTGGCACTCGCAGAATCTCTGCAGAAGGGTCTGCAAAGCGGCTACCAAATGCTTATTTTCTGCTTCCACAGGTCCAGAGCATTCAGCTTTCACAGACACAGGTAATTTTAATAGTAGATTTATTTTGAATGCTAGTAAACACCAAACTGTGTAGCTCTCTAAAACCCTTATGTTTTGCAGAGTACATACAGACCTTTTTACATAGTCAGAATTGGGAGTTTACTCTTTCCTGCTTTTTGAAAAAATCCTGATATATATAGAGATAATATGTGTATGTAAAGTGTCACTGGAATCCACACACTTGTTTTCTTTCTTTCTTTTTTTTTTTGTGAGGAAGATCAGCCCTGAGCTAACATCCATGCTAATCCTTCTCTTTTTGCTGAGGAGGACTGGCTCTGAGCTAACATCTATTGCCAATCCTCTTCCTTCCCCGCCCCCCCCCCAAAGCCCCAGTAGATAGTTGTATGTCATAGCTGCACATCCTTCTAGTTGCTGTATGTGGGACGCGGCCTCAGCATGGCTGGAGAAGCGGTGCGTCGGTGTGTGCCCGGATCCGAACCCGGGCCGCCAGTAGCGGAGTGCGCGCACTTAACCGCTAAGCCACGGGGCCGGCCCTACACACAGTTGTTTTCTAACGGTTGTATAGTGCGTGGTGTTGGTATTTCATAATTTGCTTAATCCTATTGTTGGTCACTGGAAATGTTTCCAATTTTTCATTATTATTACCATTAGGCCATGTACTTATTTTGTAAGTTTCTTTGTTTCCCTTTTGGATTATCTGTTTCCCTGGGGTATATTTCATAAAGGGAGATTCTATAGTTAAAGACTAGGAACTGTTTTATAGAGCTTGTTAAATCTTGCCAGGTTGCTTTTCAGGAAGACAGAACCTCCGTGGTAACCAGTAATGAGATTCCTCCAGGCATGTCTTACTATCTTCCCCACTCCCTACGTCCAGCCCTGCCTGGGTGTGGCTTAGTGGAAAGAAATGTTTTTGATGTTTTAGTGGGTATATAATGGTACCTTAAAAATCTTTTAATACATATTTCATTAATAGCTTATAGAGTTGACTATTTTTTCCCTTTGATTATCCATAGTTCCTTATAACTATGGATAACTTTTGAAATTGAAAAAACTCTGGAACCAATATATTATGAACCTTACCACCTTACCTACCCTTTCTTTCTAATTAGTAAGTAAAGACCATTGCTTAGATTTTCGTCATAATACCTGGGGTTTTCCTTCATTCTGAAGTCTTATTGAGCTTTGCTATGGGCCAGACATTGGTCTAGCATTTCTGTCTTCATGGAGCTTTCATTCCAGTTTGGGAGACAAACAAAATTAATTTACCTGTAATGTAATGTCTGGGAGCTTTGCCACCAAATAGATAATTCTTAGGGATTTTTAATACTGTTCTTGTTTTTGTAAAATTGAATAGCCCTTCCTCTCAGGATTTTAAGGAAGATTTCTTTTAATTTGCAAATTTGGATTTGGTTTAAGTCCTAAGACCAGTGGGAATGTATTGAAAGGTTTTAAGCAGGAGACTGATCTATCTGACCTGCATTTTTGTAAGTGCTCGAAAGGGCTAGAGTAAGTTTAATTTGCATATGCTGACAGCATGGGTTTTTTCCTATGAACATTTTTAGCCTTATCTCAAGGCTGTCCTTCAGCAAAGGGGAGCAGCTGAGAATGGCCAGGTTTCTCTGGTGACTGAGATTGGGAGCTTTGAGTGCCAGATGCCACGTTAGTGGTGATATAAGTTTTGAAACAGAGAGAGGTGTTCAGATTCCTTTAGTTAACAGGGGTTAATTTAAAGATATGTGGAATTAAGGGAGAGAGGAAACTGACCTTGCAGAGGCCTGCATGGGATCTTGCCATGACGAGAACTCTCATTTTCTTGATATGAAGAGAGCTTGTGTGTTATCTGCTCTACCTGGCAGATCCTGTCTACTGGCTGTGGCGTCTACTGCCCTTTCCTGCATCCAGGCCATCATCATCTCTCTCCTAGGCCACTGTAGTAGCCCTCTAACTGGTCTGCTAGCATCTACTTTGGCCCTTTCTAGTCCCTTTCCCAAAAATGCAAGTTGGACCACCTTAGTCACCTGCTTAACACATTTCAGTGCATTCCCGTGGGTCTTAGCATTTAAACCAAATCCTCTGTGTGGCTGTAAGGCCTTACATGGCCTTGCTGCTGTTTCTCTTCTGTCTCATTACAACCACTCGCTTGTTCTCTGAGTTACAGTCACACTAGCCTTCCTCTGCTTGCTTACACGTGCTGTTTTCACTCCTGCCACAGATTCTTTGTGTCTGCAGTTTCCTCAAACTCCCCCTCCTCCAGTTTTTCTCCAAATTAACCTTCATTTCATCCTTCCTTTTTCAACTTAAGCTTGAGTTCTTCAGGGAATCTCGTTGTTCCTCCCTATTCTAGTTCAGGACCTTTGTTGGATTGTGGTAGAAGTGTGTTCCTTCCCCCTATGCACATGTGTCCCCGTTAAATGATCACAGACCCCATAATGTGGTTACTTCGCTACTCTTTCCTTTACTCCGTGGAATTTAAGCCCGGGGAAGGGGAAGACTATCTGATTTGGCTCTCCTTGGTATTCCCTGTGCCAGCCCAGGTCCTGCAGTTGGAGGTGCCCAGAAACGTTGGTTGAGTGAAGTTTTGGCTGAGCTGGGGAGTGGTTTCTGTTGCTCCCTGCCCTGTGGCCCACCGTGGTGGTGACTTGGCTTCTCTTGGTCTTTGTTTCTGCCTTAGCTGATACCAAACTCTCTCTGTTTGGTTTCTTTTTCCTTTTTTGCATTTTAGTTTATTTTTTAACAACTTTATTGAGATATAATTCACATACCACAAAATTCACCCATTTAAACCAATTCAGTGGTTTTTAGTATAGTCACAGAGTTGTGCAACAATCACCACAGTCTAATTTTAGAACATTTTCATTGCTTCAGTCCCTGGCAACCATTACTCTGCAGAGTAATGTCTCTATAGATTTGTCTACTTTGAACATTTCATATAAATGAAATGTGCGGTCTTTTGTGGTTGGCTTCTTTTACTTAGCGTACTGTTTTCAAGTTTCATCCATGTCCTAGCATATATCAGTCTTTCCTTCCTTTTTATTGCTAAATAATATACCATTGTATGGACGTACCACATTTTGTTTAACCATTTATTAATTGGTGGACATTTAAGTTGTTTCCACTTTTTGTCTATTATCAGTAATGTCACTATGAAAACTCACATACAAGTTTGTGTGGACATATGTTTTCTGTTCTCTTGGGTGTATATATAGGAGTGGAATTTTGCTGGGTCATATGGTAGTTACATTTTTAACATGTTGAGGAACTGTCAAACTATTTTCTAAAGTGGCTGCATTATTTTACAATTTCATCAGCAATACACGAGGATTCTAGTTTCTCTACAACTTCGCCAACACTTGTTATTTTATGTTTTTTGTTTTGTTTTTTTATAATCATCCTAGTGGATGTGAAGTGATATCTTATGTGGTTTTGATTTGCATCTCCCTCATGACTAATCCTGTTGAGCATCTTTTCATGTGCTTATTGGTCGTTTGTGTATCTACTTTGGAGAAGTGTCTATTCACATCCTTTGCCTGTTTTTAAATTGGGTTATTTGTTTGTCTTTTTATTGTTGAGATGTAAGAGTTCTTTATATTTTATAGATACTAGACCTTTATCAGGTACATGATTTGCAAATATTTTCTCCCATTCTGTTGGTTGTCTTTTCATTTTCTTGATGATGTCCTTTGAGGCACAAGTTTTTGGTTTTGATGAAGTCCAGTTTACCTATATTTTCCCTTGTCACTTATGCTTTTAATGTCATATCTAAAAAGACCCAAGATTACTAAGATTTACACCTATGTTTTCTTCTAAAAGTTTTATGGTTTATCTCTTACATTTAGTTCTGTGATGCATTTTGACTTCATTTTAGTGTATAGTGTGAGCTTGGGGATCCAAATTCATTCTTTTGCATATGGATATCCAATAGATAAAGTACCATTTGTTAAAAAGATAACTCTTTCCCCATTGAATTGTTTTGGCCTCCTTGTGGACTCTCTAAGCTTCAGCTCCATTCCCAACTGTAGATTCTCTCCTTCACTTTTCACTTATACCAGGATCTATGGGTTTAGTTAAGCCACGCTCTAAGGCTACCCCGGTTGGACATAGCTCTTGCCCATCAGTCAGTTAATAAATAGTTATTGAGCATCATTTCTTGAATGTTCCAATAAATCGTAGGGCAGTGAAAACAACACAATGTCCATACTCTTGTGATGGGATAATATACAATACATCTCAGAGTTTATAGATAAAACACAAATTTTTTGGCTGAACTTTTATTAGAAACCATTCTTTAAAGATCTGAATATCAAAAAATATCTCTTAAAAGCCAATTATTTTAATTTATTTCATTTCTACGGTGATTCAGAGAAAGAAATTTTAAAGTATTTTTCAAGGCTTACTATACCTAAAAACAGAAACCTACAAAATTTAGACTTAAGAAATAATTATGGTATTCCTCAGAAAAATTTCTAACTGTAATACTTCCACATTTAAACTGTGTACTTATATGTGTTCTGTGCTGTATTTTAAGTGGCTGTAAGGTTGCCAGCTGTCCTTTCTCAGGAAGAAATGTCTTTATTTTGATATTCTGTCTGTCTCGAGTTTTCTACCCTCTGCCTGTGGTGAGGAACCCGTCTGGTTTCTGGGGTGGGTGGTGAGTTCAGGAGGTCAGCTTCTCTCTAAAGGGGGACGCAAGGTGTGGAAGTTACTCATAATCGACTTCTCCAATACAGAGCTGGCAAGTATATCTGGTAGGAAGCTAAAGAGTGAGAAAGTTTAGGCGGAAATTAATATCAACTTTGCTTTGACTATCTCCTTAGTTCCGCATGAAGAGAATTAACTTTATTTTGTTTATGAATAAAGTTTGAAGTTGAAAGACGAAATACAGTCCACTGTATGTGAGTCCACTGGATCATTATAAGAAGACAGACTAAGGTGGTAGTAGCAATTTAAAAGTATTTTCACTCAAATGATGGGTCCACATAATTTTTGGATTTTTTTGTGTGAGTGGGTGAAAAGTACAGGC